TAAATCTTCACCCAAATCACAATTTAAAAAAAAATCAAATAACCAGAGAGCTCCAATAAGATAACAGAATAAGCAAACAGACTCCACAGACTCTCTTTAAAAAGAAAAGGGGAACCAATTAACACAGATACAGAAGATAATCCTGGAGCCCTGAGCTTTGAAAGGAAGGATAAAAAAAAAAAAACTAGTAAAAGTTTAGCTGAAAAATATGTTTAGATAATGAATTTTAGGCATAGCTTTAAATACAGTAAATTAGAGAACCAAAAACATGTACATAGTTCATTTCATAAAATATGTTTTGACATTGTAAACATTTCTTAAACTTTATACCCATGAATCCTAGGATATTGCAGTAGTTTCTAAAGTTTTACACAGATGAGTCATTTTGACTGTGGTTTCTTTTACTTACTAAATATTATATAAAAAGTAGAGTATTCTAAGTGCTTGTTTACTGTCCACAAAAACACTGTTCACAAAAAGAAGAACCAACTCACTGCCATCAAGTCAATTCTAACTTATAGGGACCCACACTGGATTTCCAAGGCTGTAAATCTTTACAGAAGTAGATTGCCTCATTTTCTTTCCATGGAGCAGCTAGTGGATTTGAACTGCTGAACTTCTGGTTAGCAGCCAAATGTCTTATCCACAACATGACCAGAGCACCTTACCACTGTCTACCAGAACCTTACAATCTAGTCATCTGAGGCAAAGGAAGATGACTACAGTTGAAAATGTTGCTTACCTCTGAGTTCGTAGTTGTCAAGGCCCGCACACAATATTGAGTTCCATTATTCACCATTATTTTGGCAAAAGGATTGTATAAATTCAAGAGACGTATTTTCCCTGTGAACAAAGTTGTAAGGAACTCCTATCTTAATATGGTTTTTAATAGGTATTTTCCAGAAAATTCACTCATTATTCAGTATATATTTATTGAGTGCCTGTCCTGTACACGACACAGATCCTCTGTCCTCATGGAGCTTGTACTTTATCAGGAGAGATAAGCAGTAGACATCTGACTAGACAGATAAGTTTTAAATTATAGTTATGGTAAGTGCTAGAAAGAAATCTAAGTTGCCAAGAGAAAATATAAGGGAACCTTACCTTTTATGGGGATCAGAGAAGACGTTTCTTCCATACAGAGAGCTTCATGTGGTTATTTTTTAGTTTCCATTCTCAATAAAAGTTGAAAGCTTAATGTTTATAGTTCTGGTTAGGAAATCAGAAAATTCTTTATAGCAACTGATATGAAATGATCTTGAAGAATGGAAATGAGGGGCTTATGTGAAGGGATACACATTTCTATAAGAGTTGCTGAATAAACAACCAAAGTAGGAAGCAGAATCCAACATTTATGGGGTTCCTGCTGTGGTTCCAGGCCTTGTTTGGGTGCTTTGTATCTGTTAATCATGTGTAAAATCCTCCTAACAATCTTTAGGGGAAATTGTATATGTGTATAAGCAAACACATGTGTGTCACTAATTTGTTATTCTCATTGATGGATTTTAACTTTCAGTGCCTTCTACTCCTGTGCATCCTGCCAATGGTATGAAAAACTACATGAAGAAATCTGGTGTTGTAGATTCTTCTTCCGAAGATCATCACTGGCCACGTGGTACCCTGAGGCACATCTCAGACAACTCCCTTGGGCTGCCTGGGGGCCTGCGGGAAGGAAGCCTGAGTTCTCAAGATTCCAGAACTGAGAGTGCCAGCTTGTCCCAGAGCCAGGTCAATGGCTTCTTTGCCAGCCATGGAGGTGACCGCACCTGGAAGGAATCACAGCACGGCAGCCCTTCTTCATCTGTAATATTCAAAGCTTCTGAGAAAAAGAGAATTTCTATTGACAGCAACCAAAGCAGAGCTAAAAAATCAGGCATTTCTGCTGTGACAGATGACTCTGATCGTGGAGATTCAGACATGGATGAAGCTACTTATTCTGGTAGTCAAGACCATCACACACCAAAAAAGGCACAGTGAACTTTAATCTTCTTTCTTTCTTTTTTTTATGTAACGAAACAACAAAAAATATTATAGAGCAGAATAATTTATTATAAGCTACTTCCATATCCTCAAAAGGAAGAGTATTTATCCTTTCTGCTACTAACCGCTACTGCATTTGATACTAACTTTCAGAGAAATTAGAAGCTTTAAATACTAACAGTGAAATAGCTATTATTCTGGGAATATGCCACCTAATGACACAAAGGAGAGAATAATCAGATTATGGTTGTTTTCTTATAAGTTGTTTTTCTCTTGAATATCTAATGTTTATATCAATTGTTATTGTTGTTATGTGCCATCGAGTCAGATCCAACTCATAGTGACCCCTCCTTGGGTTGCCAAGGCAGTATCACTAAGGAAGTAGATTGCCTCATCTTCCTTCTGAGAATGTTTATGTTAATAAGAGAACTTAAATATCTAAAAAAAAAAATTGTTCCTGTTTAATAGCTATTGTAACCTTTGACTTTACTATCTTCTAAAGTTCTAACATCTTCCAAAGTTCTGAATTAATAATAATAATTATAACACTGAAAAGTTTCTTAGGAAATTTTCCTAAAAATGTTGTAAATTTAAATTCACATTCACAAGCAGTCTTAGAAACTTTATGTCCTTTATTCATTGAAAACTCAATATTCCTGATGAGAGGCTTATGCCCTTATAATTTGGATTTGCTTCTGTTCATATATATAGTTCAGTACCTTAGATGCAGTCAATTTTCAGCTTGTTGACATAAAGCACAGCTAGTATTAAGAAAGAAAACTTTGCTTTTTTAATTTTAATGTTCATGTGTAAATTAAGTTATACAATACCTCACACATTTGAAAATTACAAGGATTTTTTCATATGATAAACTGAATGAAAAATTCTTAAGGCAGTCTTACATTTGCATTATCTATGTTTGATTTATAAATATTAGCACAGTAAACATGAAGCCTTACTATCTTAAAGACCCAAAGTGATTGTTGTTGTGTGCGGTAGAGTCCATTCCAACTCACAGTGACCTTATAAGACAGAGTAGAGCTGCCTTATTGGGTTTCTTGGGCTATAATAAGAAGAAGATCTTCAATGAGATGGATTGATATATGGCTGCAACAGTGGGCTCAAGCATAATTATGATTGTGAGGATAGTGCAGGACCAGGCAGTGTTTCGTTCTGCTGCACGTAGGGTCATTATGAGTCGGAACCAACTTGATGGCACATAACAGCAGCCACAACCTTTACAGGAGACCATCGCCAAGTCTTTTCTCCTGTGGGCAGCTGGTGGATTCAAATCTCCCACCTTTCAGTTAGCAGCCAAACATTTCAACCATTGAGCCAACAGGGATCCTTAAGGTGATAGCTATTTGATAAATGTTAATTTTTAAGGGAAAAGGAAACTCTTTCCAAATTTCAGACTGTAAAAAGCATTGGATAAAGATTATGTAAAAGCCAGGTTTGAACTGACTTCCAGACTTCTCTCTGCCATAGCTAACTCTGTGACCTAGAGTAAGCCTTTTTTGTTTCTGGGCCTCAATTTCCTCTCCATAGAATATGAAGATCTCTAAGATCTCTACCAACTATCATGTTCTTTGAATTCACTCTACCCCTAATGTCTTGAGTTTTTTTGTTTGTTTGTGTTTTTAATTTTTCCAAAAACATATTGGCTTTCCCATAAGAATTCATTTTGACTCTAACAAGAAATCCTTTTTCTTTTTTTTTTTTTTTTCTTGTTAAGGAATCTTCCTCCTCAATGAGTACATCCAACAAAATGAATTTTAAAACTTTTTCTTCATCACCTCCTAAACCTGGAGATATCTTTGAGGTTGAACTGGCTAAAAATGATAACAGCCTGGGGATAAGTGTCACGGTACTGTTTGACAAGGTTTTCAAATGTTTTCTCTTCTCCATTTCCAGCAGCCTATTTTATGCCAATTTAGTAATTGAATCACTTTGCTTCAAAACAGACACTTGTCAAATATTTCCAAAATTTTAAAATTGAATGATATCTTAAATCTCTTTTTTTAATTGAATGCTTTATTTACTTTTTCTTGTGGTTCAAAAAAAACTAAGCAAATACCTTTTTCCCATAGACATCATACTTCCTTAATCTGATTGTAAGATTGCAAAATATAAAATTAATGTTCATGCTTCCTGAACACTTTGCTTCTGCATGAACATGGAATGATATGATACATCTTCCACTTACACTATCAGTAATGAAAGATTTATACATATTTGCACACCTTTTATCTCTTCATAATATATTTAAAAAAAAAAAATACTGCTGTTGAGTCAGATCCAACTCATAGTGACCCCTCCTTGGGTTTCCAAGGAGATATCACTACGAACTACATTGCCCAATCTTCCTTCTGAGGAGTGGCTGGTGGGTTTGAACCACCAGCCTTCTGCTTAGCAGTAAAATGCTTTAGGCACTTTGCCACCAGAGCTCTTTCATAATATATACCAAAACCAAACCAAACTAACTGCTCTCGATACGACTCATAGTGACCCTTCTTGGATTTCCGAGGCGGTATCTCTACAGAGTAGATTGTCCAACCTTCCTTCCAAGGAGTGGCTGGTGGGTTTGAACAACCAGCCTTCTGGTTAGCAGACAAATGCCTTAGACACTGTTTAGGATCTTAAAATTTGAGTTCCCTAGAAATATATATAATTTTAAGGTAGTTAAAATATGAGATAGATATTTGGTAAGATAACTTTTGAATTTTATGAATGAAGACACTAGATCCTTAATTATATAACATTATCATGTATCACATTGGAGGGCAAGGATAGTTATAAAAAGCCATTTGGAAATAAGGTTTGTTGTGATTGCCATAAAGTCAATTCTGACTCATAGGACCCCATGTGTGCAAAGTAAAACTGCTCCATTGGGTTTTCAATGCTAGGATCTTTTTTAAAACAAATCCAGATCTGTCTTGAGCCCAACAAGTGGCTTGAATCACCAACCTTTTACTAGTAGTCAAGTCCTTATCTGTTTGTACCACAGCATTAACTTGTATATTGAGATGAAAAAGAAGACCTAACTTTCTGGCACATTTTAAAATACTGTGATCCTTTTCTTTTCCCATTAATTTCTTTAGATTTTTATTGTCTTCCTATTGTGAATAAAAATAAAATATATTTAATAATAATAAAAATATTTTTAAAGGAAATAAAATCTTCAAATCCACAGTAGATAGAAACTCCACTCATTAGATCTGATCATCTGCACATAAATTAACTTCTCTACCAAAGTCTTTTAAATTGAAAGACATTTTCTTTTTCTTTATGGAATTTGCTTTCAAATTAGTAAATAGGGTCTGAAGCATATTATTTCATATACTTTCTGTACTGTTAATTATATTGTCAAATTAATTTTGCATGGGTGGATTTTGCTTTCTGCTTGCTTATGATGCATGATGTAGACTTAAAAAAGAAAAGCAATTCTTCACATAGTCAAAATCTAGCATGTTGTAATTTTTCTTAATTGAATAGAGTTTTGCTAAAAAGGAAACTGATGTTTGAAAAGATGAATTGGAAATATTATTGGGTATTGAAGTAATTGCATATGCTGACTTCAGGCAGCTACTTTACCTGATGACTTGAATGCTTTCTAGATCTCAGATTTAAATTAAGATGAATAAAAATGTTCATACTAACAAAATTTTATTTTATCTCTCTTTTTCTATTTAGGGAGGTGTGAATACCAGTGTCAGGCATGGTGGCATTTACGTGAAAGCTATTATTCCCAAAGGAGCAGCAGAGTCTGATGGTAGAATACACAAAGGTATAGTATTTATGTGTGTGCAAGCATTATATGTATGGATACTACATCAACAAATAGATAAGAAAATAGAGAGGTAATCTAGATCTTCAATTCATAATATGGAATAACTATAACACCCACTCCTAACTTATCAACATGGTTAGTTTCCAAAGACCAGGTCATTATGCAAAACTCAGTGTTATGTGAAAATGGAGGATGACCACATCATTACATAACTGCCAAGCCACTAAGAATCATGGCCCAGCCAATTTGACAGTCACAACCAGTGTTACTCTCGCTTTGCACTTTGGCATTTGTTACTGCTAGATGTATATCATTCATGCAAAAAATTGCTGGATAATAGATTTTTTTACTATACTGGTATAAGTGAAATATTAGGTCACAAGATACTCAATAAGTGAGAGATAGGTTTACTAAATTGATATCTTGTTGCTATTGCAAAAGCCCTTTTTTATAGCTTATATTCTAGTATCAGAAAATAACTAGACAGTATTTTCATTTATGTTTTGCACTTGCTAAGAAGCAACTTGCCAGAGAATAGGGGAAAGAAGGTGTCCTTGAAGTATCAATGACATCTTTATTTCTAATAGGAACTGGCTAGCAACTTCTCTTCAATCTGTCTACAGTTTTAGTTTAGCTTATGCTTTCTCACGATTTAAATTGATTTTCATAAAGATATTTCCCTAAAATTAGGCATAAATGGAAGAAATAACTTAAATAACATATTAAATTAAAAATAAAACTCTGTAACATATTTTTTTCCAGAATTTGTCTAAATCTCTCGTCAAATGAATTACTACAGAATAAGCCCGTACAGTAAGAAAGAGCATGTAGAATTTTTGTTATTTTATTATTTGTTTCTTTATGAATTATATCAAGGTGATCGTGTTCTAGCTGTCAATGGAATTAGTCTGGAAGGAGCTACCCATAAGCAAGCTGTGGAAACACTGAGAAATACAGGACAGGTAATAGATTATTATACCAACCTTTCATGATAACTTAAAAAGATGAAATAATGTGTGAATAATATCAATTTCATTGAGATGTCTAAATTTATTAGTTAATCAGGATTCATGTAACATTCTGAGTTTTTTCCATCCAAACTGAAGAGCATATATTACGACAAGAGGTTTTGACTAACAAAGCTGATTTTTCATGTCTCATTTTGCTCTGGTAGCGTAGTACCTAAGGCACTTGACTGCTAACCAGAAGGCTGGCGGTTCAAACCCACCAGCCACTCCTTGGAAGGAAGATGGGGCAATCTACTTCCATAGTGATACTGCCTCGGAAACCCAAGGAGGGGTCGCTATGAGTCGGGTCCGACTCGACAGCACATAACAACAACAATAACAATGATACCAAAGAGATTGGGTAGGGGGTGAGGCTGAGATTACGTTTTTTAACTTTTTCATAAATACTTAATAGTTATTAGTGATTTTCAACCCTAGTCATTTTTTAAATTCATTTAGGAAGTTTGCTAAATTATTTATTATGGTTTTACAGTATAATAGAGTATTGGCCAAACTTTGTCTCTTGTACTTTGGTCATGTTATCAGAAGGGACCAGTCCCTGGGGAAGGATATTGTGCTTGGTAAAGTAGAGAGATTCAGCAATGTGTGGAAAGCCCTCAACAAAATGGAATGACACAGTGGTTACAGTGATGGGCTCAAGCATAAAAATGATTGTAAACATGGCACAGGACCAGGCAGTGTTTTGTTCAGTTGTGCTTAGGGTTGCTGTGAGTCAAAACAGACTTCACCGCAACTAACAACATACTAGTGATTCTATTCTAGCATCCAAATTTTCTATAACGTGACTACATTAATTTTGTAATAGACTTCTTTTTTCTTTTTTATCAATTCTCTTTCTATAAAAAGAGATAGGAATAAAAACTAGAATTTGAAAATTTTAATCACTTGCTCTTTGGCCCTATTTTTTTTCTCTCCCTCTGCCTATACTTTGGTGGACCAGGTAGTTACTTTAAATGATTATACCATCCACTCCACAGAGTTCTGAAAATACATTTTTTCTTATAATTCATCTTAGTTGACAAAATGCTATTCAATTTTTCCAGGTGGTTCATCTGTTGTTAGAAAAAGGACAGTCTCTAGCATCCAAAGAACATGTCCCTGTAACCCCACAGTGCACCCTTTCCAATCCAGATGCCCAAGGTCAAGCTCAAGAAAAAATGGTGAAGAAAACAGCTCATATCAAGGATTACAGCTTTGTCACTGAAGGTCAGACCTTGGGAGAGTGTGTCATCTCACCTTTAAATTATTTGAGGCTTGTTCAAAATTTTTATATGTTGGATCACAGTTCATGCCTTCATCTCTTTAAGTACTTTTGTCAATTGTAAATAATAATCTAAATTTAAAAAGAGACACATTCTCTTATTAGCAGCTCTTAGAGGCTAAAAGACTCTAAATAATGAATGTATGCATGAAACAGATGATGATAACCTCATCATGTCTTAAATTGTTATAAAAGTTCAGAGTGAAATGTGTAAGGATAAAAGAAAACCCTGCTGAGAATGGCTGCAAACTTATATGAAATCTTGACCCATAAATTTTCTATATTTCTTTTTAATATTATGGACTTGGGAAGCTAACCCTAAGCAAAATTTCACATAATATATCCCAGATATTGGTCCTTTTTAAAAAAAAGTGATGCCAATCTTTGGATCTATCACTAATTGATAGCAAAATTTAAAAAAAAAAATGATTTAGTAGTGACTTTTCATAGACAAAATGTATTTATATTATAGGACTACCCTTAATTCTAAGATTCTGTCTTCTTTTTAATGATTTAAAATGTCCTCCATTTTGTAAATAATGGTGATAGTATATAATCATTGTTTTGTTTTTTTGTGTTGCACAAGTCACTACTTGATCAGACAAATGTTGTGTTGTTGTTAGGTGCCATTGAGTTGACACCGTCTCATAGCAACCTTATGTACATAGAATGAAACACTGCTCAGTCATGCCCCATCCTCACAATTCTTGCTATACTTGAACCCATCATTGCAGCCACTCTGTCAGTCCATCTTGTTGAGGGTCTTCCCCTTTTTCACTGATCCTCCACCTTACCAAAAGTGATATTCTTATCTAGGGAATGGTCCCTTCTGACATGACCGAAGTAGGTAGATGAAGTCTGGCCATTTTCGCTTCCAAGGAGCATTCCGGCTATACTTTTTCCAGGATAGATTTGTTCACTCTTCTGGTGGTCCATGATATTTTCAGTATTCACCAGCACCATAATTCAAAAGCATCAACTCTTTTTGGTGTTCCTTATTCATTGTGCACTTGACTGCTAACCAAAGCTGGAGGTTCAAACCCATCATCCACTCCTCAGAATGAAGGTTGGGCAATCTACTTCCATAGTGATACTGCCTCGGAAACCCAGGGAGGGGTCACTATGAGTCCGATCTGACTCCATGGCAGTGAGTTTGGTTTTTTTTGGTTTATTCATTGTCCAGCTTTAACATGCATATGAGGTGATTGAAAATACCATGGCTTGCATTAGGCATACCTTAGTCTTCAAAGTGACATCTTTGCTCTTCAAAACTTTAGAAAGGTCTTTTGCAGCAGATTTTCCCAGTGTAATACAAAGTCTGATTTCTTCTCTACTACTTCCATGGGTATTGATTGTGGATCTGAGTAAAATGAAATCCTGGACAACTTCAATCTTATCTCCATTTATTGTGATGCTGCTTAAACAAATGTTAGCAACTCTGGCTGAGTCCCAAGATTAAGGAGAAAAAAAATAGTCCAGGCTATATTATTTTTCCTGATTATTACTAACGCAGAGTTAACCTACCCACTTGATCACCACCATTACTAAGCTTCACAGTTTATTTCTTCTATCACTGTTTCTTTAAAAATGTTTTTAATTTTTTTCTGATTATTATTCTTGTAACTTTTTGTTGATGAGAATTTTATCAAACTGCTATTGTCATTTATCTCTGTTAATAGTATTTGCCTCATTAAAGCATTAAAATGTCAACTCACCTTCCATTCCTTTCTCCGTAACCTCCCCATAGCCTTCCTTTTACCACAGTAAAAATTAAATTTAAAAAGTCTTAATAATAACAAAAGAAAAAGAGAAATCAAGGAAAGGAGAAGTATGAGAGAAATTCAGGAATATAATGGGAGAGAGATGAGTATAAAAGGGGGAGGCTGTGGAGAGGCAAGCCAACATTTCAATGCTTTGATAAGATGCAATGTCAATTCAGATCAATGGCCCTAGCATCGTGATTAAATTGTGGTGAAATGTATGTAGCCATGAAGGTGGTGGGGGGAAGGAGAGTTCTACAGTAAAAAAAGAAAAAGGAAAATATCCCTACTGTTTGAAAGTAGGCTTTTTCTTAGTTCATTGTTTCCTTCTAAATTTGCTGCCTTCGAGTCAGATCTGACTCATAATGACTTCTCCTTGGGTTTCCGAGGCAGTATCATTATGGAAGTAGATTGCCCAATTCCTTCCAAGGAGTGGCTGGTGGGTTTGAACCACCAGCCTTCTGGTTAGCAGTCAAATCTCTTAGGCACTGTGCCACCAGAGCTCCTATTTTTTCCTTAGATGCTATAATTCTTTGACTGGTTTCCAGAGTTGTGGGATCATAAATTTACCTATATTTCCTTGGTGTTTTCTATTTTTTGTTCTGGGAGAGCTTACATTACCATGTTGCCTCCCTCCTATATAGTCTTTTAAAACATATGAGGTAGAAGCAGAGTTCTATTTTCAGAATCCTGCTTTCAGACTCCTTTTTCTGTTCATACAGCTTAATACATTAAATTTTCTTAATTTAATGGCATTGTGTGCTCTTGAATGGATTCTGACTCAATTTAGTAATAGAGAGTGTGAAATAGGGCTTGAGTATAGGAGTTCATAACACTAAATGGATAAATATTATGAAAGAATATTTTTTAAAAATTCATCTAAAGGTATATATAGCATGTTAAGAATATTTAATTTTTATATCTTGGTTGTTTGTTTGTTTTTCAGAAAATACATTTGAAGTAAAATTGTTTAAAAATAGCTCAGGCTTAGGATTCAGTTTTTCACGAGAAGATAATCTTATACCTGAGCAAATGAATACCAGCATAGTAAGGGTTAAAAAACTCTTTCCTGGACAGCCAGCAGCAGAAAGTGGAAAAATTGATGTGGGAGATGTTATCTTAAAAGTGAATGGAGCCTCTTTGAAAGGACTGTCTCAGCAGGTGAGCACGTGGAGTATAGCATTTTTAATGGTATGGTGTGGTAGTTAAGGTTGTGTATCAACTTCACTGTGCCTGGTTGAGTGGCTGAATATTTATTCCCCGTGATGAGACTGGCAATCAACTCCATGGTGGGATCTACCACAAGCAGCTGAGCAGCTGCTCTAGGGATGTGGTCTGCTTCCCATATATAAGAAGCAGCTTTGGAAATGGTCTCCAGCTTATGGCACGCTTGAACCCTGCATGTAGCCAAGTTGTTGTTCAGCAGCCTGCCATGATCTGCCGATCTTGGGACTTTTAATGGACTTGAATCAATGGCCTTCCATGTTGTTTGGTAACATGGGGACTATGCCATTTTATTTGTCACCCTTGAGCTTGTCCACCTCAGCAGCCAGTAGCTGCCTGAGTGAAGAGATGCCTCTAGCTTCAGTGGGCCAGGAGCAAGAGACAGAGCAGAGGCCCAAGGTCAAGGGGCTTTCACACAGCCGCTAGAGCCTGGTACTTGGAATTCGAACTTCTATCCTGCAAAAATTGTAAGAATAAACTCCTATTTGTTCAAGCCATCCCATTTGTGGAATATTCCTGGCAGAGCAGCACTAGGTAACCAGAACATATGGATTGGCTTTTCAGGACAATTTCATAATTTTGATTTAACTGTATCTTTATTTTCATTCATGGCACCCACAGGAAGTAATATCTGCTCTCAGGGGAACATCTCCAGAAGTATCCTTGCTTCTTTGCAGGCCTCCACTTGGTGTGCTACCAGAAATTAATGCTGCTCTTTTGGTGAGACTTATGAGATATAATCTATAATCTTATAGAATATTATTTTAGAGATTGATTAACTCAGCTGTAGTGATTTCCTCACTGATTGATCTCCTGACCTTTATACCTCATTGTATCTTTAGCTGAGCATATTGTCTTGTGTCTTGTAGCCACTCTAAGTGCTTTCTATTCACTTTCTGTTCTTTCCCTTCCAATTCTAGAATTATAAGATCTTAGGATTTCAGGAATTTCTTTTCTAACTGTAAATAGAGAAGGGTAAAAAATTATGATTTTTTAAAAAAACAGCTTTTATTTATTTATTCATTGAACAACTGGGAAAAATAATTTTATTTTGAGCTAGTTTAGATAAAAATGAGACTTACTCAAGATTTTTAATATTTTTCTTTTTAATACTAAAAATCATGGAGAAAGTATGTTTGGCCATTTCCTTTTCTTAGATCAAGAAATAGCAAAAGGATCCATGTGTAGATGAATTATAATATAATTGAAGAAAAGTCTCTGGACTAGCTAGTAAATACAGTGCTCCACTCCTGGGTATGAACAGCAGGAGTATCCAGCTCTTAAATAAATATTATCTCTAAAGCTTTCATTCTTACATTGGGTGGAGAGAAGGGCATTAGGGGAACATTAGTAAGAAAGTGACATTTCTGTGAGATACATTATAAATAGAATTTTAAAAGACTTAGTTGATTTTTGGTACAAGATAGGAAGAATTGAGTGGAACTCACTTGGTGAGTATATAAATTTATATAATCTTTCTGGTAAGCAATTTGTAAGTATTTAACAAGACCTACAAAAATGCTCACATGTTCTGATAGTGTAGAAAATTGCAAGGAAAAAACGGAAACTGAGGTGAAGATTTACAAAGTTCTAGGTTTCTATTAGTAATGGAAGCTGAAAGCTATTTTTATATCCAATAAAAGAAAAATACTGAAATAAATTAAAGGTATATCCATATGTAGAACTATTATACAGTTATTAAAATTGCTGTTTTCAAAGCACATTTAAGGACTTCAGAAATATACTCATGACAAAAATCTTAAATTTTAAAAGCAAGATACCAAGTGTAATACATTTAATCCTGATTTAAAGTTTAAGTTGCAAATTATAAACAATTTTCATTTTTATATATGATATATTTTTTATTCTGTAGTTAGCATAAACTACTTTTACTGTTTCTAAAATTAATATAAATGTCACATTCTTGTTTTTGTTTTTTTTCATGTCTCCATTATAGACCCCACTACACTCTCCAGCACAAGTACTTCCAAACAGCAGTAAAGACTTTTCTCCATCATATGTGGAGCAAGGTACCAGCTCAGATGAAAATGAAATGTCTGACAAAAGCAAGAAGCAATACAAATCCTCATCCAGAAGAGATAGTTACAGTGATAGCAGTGGTAGTGGAGAAGATGACTTAGTGAAAGCTCCAACAAAGGCATCAAATATGAGCTGGAATTCAACTTTGTGTAAGACTCTAAACAACATGGTATCACAGGTACAGGGTCAACAAGAAGTATCCAAGAATCAAGAAGATGCTGTTTGTCCCATGTTTTATTATCCTCAGGAAATGTCCAATAAAATGGAACTTGAGCACAGGTATTGTCACTATTGTGTGTAGCACTTAAAGCAACTGGTGTTGTTAGTAACAGTTGCAGCAGCATACATTTCTGTTAAGAATCAAATGTGTCTATCTGTAAACTTCACAGTGGTTAGGCAGATGATGACCCTATTGGATATCTAGCTGTTATGGCAGTATTAGTTAGTAAAGCAACAAACTTTCTAGCCATTCAACCTGAGCCTTGCTTTCTTCTATGACATATTTACAAGTAATTCGCAAGGTTATATTTTACCTTAGCCAGAAAGAGAAGAAAGCTATTTAAGTAGAGACAGGTAAAAAAGTAGCAGAAGTATAAAGGGAAGAATAGAGGGAGAGTTTTGAGAGTTTACAACAGATAGGTGATAAAGGATGTAGAAGATGGGGACAGGAGAAATGATTGAAAGCAGTAGAAGTATAAGGAGAAAGACTGTATCTATATCTTACAATAGTTATTCATACATTTTATATCTATTTATGACTTTGAATGTATCCAGGTCCAATCATATTTGTTTGTTTGTTTTTTTTTTCCCCGCCACTATTTTTCTCTTCTGAAATAACCATAAGAGTAAGACTTTTATTCTTTCTTCATTTTCTCTTTTTCCTTTTATCTTCAAACACACATTTGGCTTTTGGTAGCATTAGCTTGAGCCTTAAATTAACACTGAGTAAGAATCAAAACTATTGCATTTAACTTGTCTTACTAATTCACACAGCTTAAAGAGCTCCTTTAAAATAGAACCGGGACAGATAATAAGTTGGTAATGTTAGCATATAACAGATGTAAAATGAGTTCATTCTTCCATATCAGACAAAAAGCACCTAGGTGGTCTTAATTAGAATTAGACGTAAGTATTTATGGGACCCACTTAATATATTGATGTTGAGATATATTTGAAAATACTCTTGCTTCTTATTTCTGTAGTAATCCTCCTTCTCCTGTACCACTGGATATGACTCCTGAGTGGAGTTGTCAAAAACAACCAGAATCTGCTCGCTCTGATTCAGTAGATAAATATCCTACACATGACACTTCTGAGCCTATTGGGCAAGGAGACTTGACATCCTTGAAAAATGATGCAGAAAACCACCTTGAAGACTTTGAGCTGGTGAGTTATTTCCTCTGTATTAAAACAATTCACTGTTTACTCAAGTAAAAGACACATGCAAACAGTGCCTTTTTAGTTGGGGAGAGACTATCTTTTAGAGTAACTTAGTATCTGCATCTAATGATTTGTTACATATCTCATATATAGCTGGAAAAAAAGAAAAAAGGCCTAGGTACAAATTACCTAATTTTTCTGAGATTTAGTAGCTTCAGCTGTAACATGGGAGCCCAGGGGGTGCAGTGGGTAAGCACTAGGCTGCTGACCAAGACGTTGGCAGTTCGAACCTACCAGCCACTCAGTGGGAGAAAGATGTGGCAGTCTGCTTCCAATTGGAAGCCTTGGAAACCCTATGGGGTAATTCTGCTCTGTCCTATAGGTCACTATGAATCAATTTACCAGCACTGGGTTTTTGACCCTCATAGGTTTGTGGTGAGGATTAAATAAAAGATGTAGGTAAGCACCTAGTATAGTTACCTGTTACAGAGTAAGACACTTAGTAAATATTATATTTGCTTATTTCCCAAATTCTAATTTAATCAACTTAATTTAATTTAACTTAATTAATTTAATTTAATTTAACTTAACTTAATTAATTTAATCAACTTTGAATGTAATATTTTTATCTTCACATATTTTGCATCTAAATAGAAACCTTTAGATTATAATAATCACACTAGTATTCAAAACCTACATTTTTTGTTTTGAAACTGAATTTCCAAACATAATATCATCTATGTTGTTGTTGTTGTTGTTGTTATGTGCCGTCAAGTCAGCCCTGACTCATAGCGACCCCTCCTTGGGTTTCCGAGGCAGTATCACTACAGAAGTAGGATTGCCCAACCTTCCTTCCAAGGAGTGGCTGGTGAGTTTGAACCGCCAGCCTTCTGGTTAGCAGTCAAGTGCCTTAGGCACTATGCTACCAGAGCTCCTTTGTTGTTGTTATGTGCCGTCGCGTCAAACCCGGTTTCCGGGGCAGTATCACTACAGAAGTAGGATTGCCCAACCTTCCTTCCGAGGAGTGGCTGGTGGGTTTGAACCGCCAGCCGTCTGGTTAGCAGGCAAGTGTCTTAGCCACTATGCTACCAGAGCTCCCAATATCATCTATAATGACTGAAAGTGAGCCTTTTTCAGTAATGTTTTTATCATCTAAGTAATGTTGACTGTAGAAAAATTAGAATATAAGAAAAAAGATGAAAACCAGCTTTAATATCACCACTCCAAAACCATAAACATTTTGTCTTTTCTCTTATAGATTTATGTTTGCCTGTAGGGAAAACATAGGGTTGTATGTATGTGTGTGTGTGTGTGTGAGAGAGAGAGAGAGACAGATCTACATCTTGAGTTTCAGTCTCAGCAATAGAGGAACATAGGCTTTGAATGATCTCCTTAGAAATTTGTCAGATTCTACATTTCAGCTGAAATCTTTAAAAAAAATGTTTTAAACAACTAAATAAATGAAAGTATGACATTTAACTATCTAAAAACTTCTCATTTTTTATAAAAACAGAACAACTCTCTTTTGTTTCTCTTAACATTTCTTTTGGTAGTTTAGAAATATATGATGTATTTTCCTAAACCTTCCTCCCCAAGAAAAGTATTCTTTAATCATAAAGTATAACCATACTATGTCCTTACTTATCCAGAAAGTACAAGAATGGAACCCTTAGTAAGTTCTGTCTCAGTTGTCTCTAGGCAAACACAAAACGTATTTAAACCCAACTTCCACATGGGGGACATTTTATCTAGAATTGTACTGACCTGGCTCCTTCACTGGGCAAGTTATTTAACCTTTTAGGCTTCAGCTTCCTCCTCTGTTGAGCAAAGGAACAATGGTACTCTACCTGCAGTTTTGTCTATATGGCAAAATAAACAGCCTGAGGGAATTACTGTTTTCTTCCCTTAGGAAGTAGAACTCCTCATCACCCTAATTAAATCTGAAAAAGGAAGTCTGGGTTTTACAGTAACCAAAGGAAATCAGAGTGTTGGTTGTTATGTTCATGATGTTGTTCAGGATCCAGCTAAAAGTGATGGAAGGCTAAAACCTGGGGACCGTCTCATAAAGGTAAGACATTTAAAATTTCTTTTTTAAATGTGGACGTATCTTTGATCTCAGTTAAAGCATAAAATAAAGCTATCTTTAGGCTGGGACACAGGAAGTTTCTTAAATTAATAAGATGATAAATATCCTTTATGATCAAATTAACATGTCTTTGTTATGTATTGTGCATTTTCATCCCATAGTGTTTATCACTATGGCAGTAGATTGCCCAACCTTCCTGCCAAGGAGTGGCTGGTGGGTTTGATCACCAGCCTTCTGGTTAGCAGTCAGATGCCTTAAGCGCTGTGCCACCAGAGCTTCTTCAATTCCAAAGTAAAGGGGTAACAATAAATAGAGACCACTCTTTATTTTATTTTAAATCTCTTATTGGCTAATATAGGAGCTCTGGTGCTTAGTGCCTAAGGCACTTGACTGCTAACCAGAAGGCTGGTGGTTCAAACCCACCAGCCACTCCTCGGAAGGAAGGTTGAGCAATCCTACTTCCGTAGTGATACTGCCTCGGAAACCCAAGGAGGGGTTGCTATGAGTCGGGGGCGACTCGACCGCAAATACCAACAACAACAACATTGGCTAATATATCCTATATGAAAAGTTAGGAAGATAAAGGTATTTTCTTGGCAACTTAGCTTCTCTGCTCCAAAAATTGTAATCCTACTTTGGCCATTTCTCATTTTTTAGGTTAATGATACAGATGTTACAAATATGACTCACACAGATGCAGTGAACCTGCTTCGAGCTGCACCAAAGACAGTCCGATTAGTGCTCGGACGAATCCTTGACTTACCCAGGATGCCAGTGTTGCCTCATTTGCTACCTGACATTACATTAACATGCAATAAAGAGGAATTGGGTAATGCAGTTTCAAGCTTTCACCAAAATGATTTACTTGGCTAGATTAAGAAATGTACACTTGTGACTAAAGAAATAAATATTTTCTATTTCCTGAAGGATTTTCCTTGTCTGGAGGTGACAGTGGTGTTCATCAAGTGGTATATATTAGTGATATCAACCCAAGGTCAGTTGCGGCCATTGAGGGTAATCTCCAGCTATTAGACCTCATCCATTATGTGAATGGAGTCAGCATACAAGGAATGACCTTGGAAGAAGTTAAGAGAGCATTAGACATGGCACTTCCTTCAGTGGTGCTGAAAGCAACAAGGTACTTTGCAATATGTGTGGGCTATGTTTGTGTGTGAGAGAGAGACCTACAAATTCCTATACACTTTTTAGCTTGTTTATTATATTTGCATTCCTTTAAAAGATGTTCTTGAGTTAGTAATTCTTAAGAGTAAATTGGCAAATACTAGTAAAGTTAGAACAAACTCCCTGATAGACAATTGATTCTCAGAGCATACTGAGTGGTTAAATGCTTGGATAAATGTTTGCAGTTAATTGAGTGATTACCACATTTATCAGTTAGAATGGTTTGCTGTGGTGGTGTAGTGGTTGAGCACCTGGCTACCATCAAAAGGTCATCAGTTAAAACTCACCAGCCACTCCAGGAGAGAAATATATTGCAGTCTGCTTCTGTAAAGATTATAGCCTTGGAAACCCTATGAGGGAGTTCTGCTCTGTTCTAGGGTCACTATGAATCGGAAGTGACTCACCAGCAATGGATGAACAAAAAATCCAGCTCAGATTGGTTTAAATAAGAAAGGGAATTTATTGGCTTATATGACTAAAAATATCTTGAGAGAGGTGGTCTTCAGGTGAAATTTGGTCAAAGATTTGTCTCCATTTCTTTGCTATTGTCAGTTCCTCCCTCCTCTGTCTATCAGCTTCATCCTGAGGATGGCTTCCTTTATGATAGTCAAATGACTGTATCAGTCTTCATGCCATACACCTTCATACACACCATCCACAGCAATCTTCAAACAAAAATCCCACCAATCATAATGAGAAAGTGAATGCTATGTGCTGACTGGCTTCTTGTTATTAGGTGCCGTCGAGTTGGTCTGACGCATAGTGACCCTATGTGCAAAAGAATGAAACACTGCCTGCTCCTGCACCATCCTCACAACTGTTGCTGTGCTTCAGCCCATTGTTGTAGCAACTGCATTAATCCATCTCATGAAGAGCCTTCCTCTTTTTCACTAACCCTCTACTTTACCAAGCAAGATGCCCTTTTCTAGGATTATTACCAGTCCCTGATTTGAGGCAGAGACAAGAATATATTGATCCAGCTTATGCCTGTCATGGCCCGTTCCCAGAGTTTTGATGTGATCAATCCTACCCCAACCACATGTCCACTATGAAGAATGAATAGAACTACCACAGCCACTGTACCTCATAACATTTTCACCTTGTAAAAATTACTAATGGCAACTTATCTTTCACATATTGTGAAATAAATTGAGATAATGTACATGAACTCAGGCTTTCTAGATTACAGTTTCATTATATAAAGGAAAAAAATCACATTTGTATTTGTCATGCATGGTGAGTTTTATATAGTGTATCTTTCAAAATATGGAAGTGTATTAATTCAGTCATTTGATAAATTTATATGTTCAGTCTGAACATTTATGTTTCATTGTGTACTTTTTTCCTTGAATGTAATCCCTGACCTAATTACCTCATATATTTTTAGAAATTGGATTGACAGTTATTTTCCCAGATCCTTCTAAATGATGAGTGGGGCAAGAAACTATTCAAACACACTGGAAAATATTTTCTGTGGTATCAACACCTCTGCTACCCATAGGTCTGAATGTTTTGCCTCAAAATCAGCAGAGCATCTTTCACTCTGTCCCTGAAATCACTTTATATTTTTTCTTTTATCTTAGCTATATTTATATAGTGGGAGCCATAAGTACTTTCCCCTTTATTCTTCTTTCAGTGTTCTCTCCCTGGTTGTGTATATCTACCCTCTTTAAGATCCAAAGAGTAGCAAGAATGGACGGGATATGTATCTGTGGTAATGATGTGTATGTCAAGAACTGTGAAAGGTCGAGGATTTTACTTTACTTGCAAGCTAATAAGTTACCCTATTAACTGTTTCATGGGTGCTGGCAGAAAACATGAGACTCCTGGATTAGAGACAAAGGACTTTATTTCTAGTGGCACAGAAAATAGAATGAGCATGATATTTATATCTGCTCCCCATGTCCCCCAGATCCCATAGTGGTGACACACGTGTGGGCCTGGTAGATGCCTAAACACCTGGTGGGTTACATTACAGGAGAGGAACAGTGAGCCTGGGGAGTCCTGCCACTGTATACCAGCCTGCTTTTTCAATGGTTACTTCATCCCTCAAGGTTGTAGGAATACAACCTTGAAAAATGGACTTACATTTTTGGCCTGTCTAGCAAGAACATCCAGAGCTTTAGGCAAATTGCCTCTCCAGACACTAACCTTAGGCACCCTCCCTTTTCCAAGCATCAGATTGCATAATAATTCTAATTCCATAAGGACAAAGTGTTAAATTGCTGTATTTTTACTCAAATACCATGTCTTCTATGTTTGTTTGCCAACTACACCCTCTCCCCAGAGGTGTTTTCATGTAAGGGCACTATGTTAATTTTTTAAAGCAGCAAGGTAAAAAAATAAAAATAAAATAATAATAATAATAATAAACATACCTTCAGGGTATATTTCTTTTTGACTGTTTTTCACTTTCAGTGATACTATTCATATAATATTTTGAATATGAATAGTTTGTCTGGATTTTTACTTTAAATAATTTGAACAAAGAACAAATATTGAATGCTTTAAGTATAGAAGTAATGTCTAAATTATTTTGAACTATCACCTGAGTAACAATGAATTGTAATTAGATCATGAATATTACCAGTGTTTGAAGTAGAAGGAAAAAATGTGGTAATGTGCTAAACTTAACCCCAAAGAAAGATTATGAAGAGAAGTGTTAAGAATATCTCCCCCTAGAAAATGCACTGATGGAGACTCTTCAAATTTTTGTCTACACTTTCAGGGGGTATCTGAACCCCCTGAGGCCCATGCAAAATAAAACTCCTGAGACTAATAATTAACAATAGGTTCAAAAGATATTTACAATAAATTTTTTTTTTTCACTTACCTTTTCTCTTTTTACAACACAGAGATGGACATCCAGTAGTGCCCAGTGCACAGAGGCCTACGGGTTCAAGTCCAGAATCAAACCAGGCTAATGGTAAGGATATGCTCATTTTAGGACACAAATAGTTATATACATGTAGCTATTTCTTCCTAACATGAGGTTTGGGTACTGTCACAAAAATGTTTTTATTGTCCTTCCAGAATTTTTTACAAGATCTCTCTGAGTGTAGAAAAAAATAAATCACAGTGATTCTTTAAAATTCAGTATATAATCAAAAATATTTGAACATGGGATTTAGCACCAGATAAATCAGAGTTTATAAGTCCTATGTGACTTAGAAAGTTATTTTGATCCATAGATAAGTCTCTATTTCCTATCAGTAAAATAAATATATTCAAAATAATAATAAACCCACTGTCATCAAGTTGGTTCTGACTCATATTGACCATATAGGACAGAGTTGGGTTCCAAGGCTGTAAATCTTTATGGAAACAGACTGCCACATCCTTCTCACGCAGAGCAGCTGTTGAGTAGGAACCACTGACCTTTTGTTTAGCGGTCCGGTCTTTTAATCACTGCACCATCAGGGCTTCTTCAAAATATTGATAAGGATGTTATTGGTATCTACTATGTATTATATCTACCACTCATCTGTCAGTTTGTTGAATTGTGATGGCTTACGTGTTGCTGTGAGGCTGGAAGTTATGCCACTGGTATTTCAAATACCAGCAGGGTCACCCGTGGTGGACAGGTTTCAGTGGAGCTTCTAGACTAAGACAGACTCAGAAGAAGGAAAGGGCCATCCACTTTTCAAAGAATTGGCCTGTGAAAACCTTATGAATAGCAGTGTAATACTGCCTGATATATTACTGGAAAACTTTATGAATAGCCCTGAAAACATTGTCTGATGTAGTGCCAGAAAATGAGCCCCTCATGCCAAGGGCACTCAAACTATGACTGGGGAAAAGCTACCTCCTCAGAGTAGAGCCAACCTTAATGATGTGGATGGAGTAAAGTTTTCAGGACCTTCATTTGCTGACATGGCATGACTCAAAATGAGAGAAAAACAACTCCAAACTTCCATTAATAATTGGAACATGGAATGTACAAGGTATAAATCTAGGAAAATTGGAATTTGTCAAAAAATGAAATGAAACACATAAAGATCAATATTCTAGGCATTAGTGAGCTGAAATAGACTGGTTTTGGCCATTTTGAATCAGACAACCATATGATCTACTATGCTGGGAATGACAAATTGAAGCGGAATGGCATGGCCTTCATCATCACAAAGAATGTTTCAAGAACTATCCTGAAGCACAGTGCTGTCAGTGATAGGATAATATCATATGCCCACAAGAAGGCCAGTTAATACTACTGTTATTCAAACTTATGCATGAACCACCAAAGCTAAAGATGAGGAAATTGAAGGTTTTTACCAACTTCTGCAGTCTGAAATTGACCAAAAATACAATCAAGATTATTGATTATCACTGGTGATTGGAATGCAAAAGTTGGAAACAAAGAATAACTGGTAGTTGGAAAATATGGCCTCGATGGTAGAAATAATGCTGGAAATTGCATGACAGAATTTTGCAAGACCAATGACTTATTCATTGCAAATACACTTTTTCAACAACATAAATGATGGCTATACACGTGCACTTCACCAGATGGAGTACACAGGAATCAGATCAACTACACCTGTGGAAAGAGGCGATAGAGAAGCTCAGTCAGCAGAAACAAGGCCAGGAGCTGATTGTGAAACAGACCATCAGTTGCTCATATGCAAGTTCAACTTGAAGCTGAAGACAATTAAAAGAAGTCCACAAGAGCCAAAATATGACCTTGATTATATTCTGCCTGAATTTAGAGACAATTTAAAGAATAGATTTGATGCATTGAACACCAGTGACCAAAAACCAGAGAAATTCCAGGATGACATCAAGAACATCATCCATGAAGAAAGCAAAAGGTCATTAAAAAGACAGGAAAGGAAGAAAAGACCAAAATGGACCAAAAGAAAAGACCAGAAGAGACTCTGAAACTTGCCTGTGAACAGAGAATAGCTAAAGCAAATGGGAGAAATGACAAGATGAAAAAGAGCAGCACACAAGATTTCAAAGAGGAGCTCAAGAAGATAAAGTCAATTATTATAATGAAATGTGCAAAGACCTGGAGTTAGAAAACCAAAAGGGAAGAAAAAATTTAAGCCTCGAGTTACAATATGGAAAGATTATATGGGCAATGTATGGAATGATGCAGGAAACATGAAAAGAAGGTTGAAGGAATACACAGTCACTGTACCAAAAAGAATTGGTCATTGTTCATCCATTTCAGGAGGTGGCATATGATCAAGAACCAATGGTACTGAAAGAAGACGTTGAAGCTGCACTGAAGGAATTGGCAAAGAACAAGGATCCAGGAATGGACAGAATACCCACTGAAATGTTTCAACGAACAGATGCCATGCTGGAAGCACTCACTCATCTGTGCCAAGATATTTGGAAGTCAGCTACCTGACCAATTGACTGAAAGGGGTCTGTATTTGTACCCATTCCAAAGAAAGGTGATCCCACAGAATGTGAAAATTATCAAACAATATCATTAGTTTTTGTTGTTGTTATGTGCTGTCAAGTCGGACCCGACTCATAGCGACTCCTCCTTGGGTTTTCGAGGCAGTATCACTATGGAAGTAGATTGCCCAACCTTCCTTCCAAGGAGTGGCTGGTGGGTTCTGAGTGGCCAGCCTTCTGGTTAGCAGTCAAGTGCCTTAGGCACTACACTACCAGAGCTCCTATCATTAGTACCACACACAAGTAAAATGTTGCTGAAGATAATTCAAAAATGGTTGCAGCAGTATATTGACAGAGAACATCCAGAAATGCAAGCTAGATTCAGAAGAGGACATGGAACAAGGGATATCATTGCTGATGTCAGATGGATCTTGGCTCAAAGCAAAGAATACCAGAAGTATGTTTACTTGTGTTTTATTGACTATGCAAAAGCATTTGATGTGTGGATCATAACAAATTGTTGATAACATTGAGAAGAATGGGAATTCCAGAATACTTCATTGTGCTCATGAGGAACCTGTACACAGACCAGGAGGCTGTCATTCAAACACAACAAGGGGAGATTGCATGGTTTAAAATCAGGAAGGGATTGTGTCAGCGTTGTCTCCTTTCGCCGTACTTTTTCAATCTATATGCTGAGCAAAATCCGAGAAGCTAGACTATATGAAGTAGAACGTAGTATCGGGATTGGAGGAAGACTCATTAACAACCTGCGATATGCAGATGACACCACTCTGCTTGCTAAAAGTGAAGATGACTTGAAGCACTTATTGATGAAGATTAAAGACTGTAGTCTGCAGTATGGGTTACATCTCAATATAAAGAAAATTAAAATCCTCACAACTGGACCAATAAGCACCATCACAATAAATGTAGAGAAGATTGAAGTTGTCAAAGATTTCATACTACTTAGTTCCACAATCAACACCAATGGAAGCAGCAGTCAAGACATCATATGTCGTATTGCACTAGGCAAATCTACTGGGGAAAAAAAAAAAAACCTCACTGCCATTGAGTTGACTCTGACTCATAGCAACCCCCGTTGGGTTTACAAGGTTGTAAATCTTCACAGAAGTAGGTCGCCCCATCTTCCTACCTTAGGATGACTGGTGGGTTTGAACCACTGAACTGGTTAGCAGCCAGATGACTTATCCACTACACCACCAAAGCTCCTTTAAAGTACTTAAGAGCAAAGATGTCTCTCTTTGAAGACAAAGGTACACCTACTCCAACCATGGTATTTTCAATCACCTCATATGCATGTGAAAGCTGGACAGTGAATAAGGAAGACTGAAGAGTTGATGCTTTTGAGTTGTGGTGTTGGCAAAGAATACTGAAAGTACCATGGACTGAAAAAACTAACAAACCTTCCCTGGAAGAAGTGCAGCCAGAATGCTCTTTGAAAGTGAGAATGGCCAGACTTCATCTCCTCTGTTTTGGTCATGTTGTTAGAAGGAACCATTCCCTGGAGAAGGATATCATGCTTGCTAAAGTGAAGGGCCAATAAGAAAGGGGAAGGCCCTCAGTGAGATGGATTGACACAGTGGCTGCAACAGTGGGCTCAGGTGTGGCAAGGATTGTGAGGCTGGCACACGACCAGGCAGTGTTTTGTTCTGTTGTACCAAGGGTTGCTATGGGTTGGACCCAACTTGACAGCACCTAACAACAATATGTATCATATAAATACAATAATACATACAAAACATCACAATGCTTGTAACATAGTAATTTAATCAGATATTTATTGAATTTCTGCTCTGTGCCAGGCACTGTTCTAAGATATAGCAATGAACAAAACAGAGTTAACTGCATTACATTCTAGCATAATAATAGAAATAATGTTTCTAATTACAGCAGCAACAAAAACATTAGTGCTTACTCTAGACCAGGCATCTTTTAAATGTTTTATTACTGACACCAATCCTGTGAGATATTATGATTGTTAACATCATTTAATAGAAAGAGAAACTGAGGCATGGAGAAGAGAAAAATTAATAAATAGTAAAGCCAGAATTTAACCCTAAAAAGCCTTGAGTTCATGCTCTAATTTGCATAATAAGTGTTCATAAACATGGTTTATATTGCTGTTATTAATATAATAATGTTCCCTGTTGCTGTTGAGTAGACTCCCTGTGTGTCAGAGTAGAACTGTGCTCCATGGGGTGTTCATTGGCTGAGTTTTCTAAAGTAGATCTCCAGGCCTTTCTTCTGAGGTGCTTCTAATAGATCAGAACCTCCAGCCTTTCAGTTAGCAACCAAGTACATAAATTGTTTGCACTACTCGTTGTTTGTTGTTGTTATGTGCTGTAAAGTCAGACCCGACTCATAGCGACTCCTGCTTGGGTTTCCGAGGCAGTATCACTACGGAAGTACATTGCCCCATCTTCCTTCCGAGGAGTGGCTGGTGGGTTTGAACCACCAGCCTTCTGGTTAGCAGTCAAGTGGCTTAGGCACTACGCTACCAGAGCTCCCAGGTACACTACGCAGGTACTCCAATAAGAATGTTAGGCACAGGGA